CAGTGAGAGGGTTTCCTGGTGTTTGGAAACTTCCTCTATTAAGACTCCCTTCCTGGGACAGATCTCCATCCCTAACTCTATTGTCTCTCTTTTTATCTTTTATATTTTGTCCTCCCTCCTTTCAAAGACAGCGGGCTGCTTTCCTGGGTGTCTGATGTCCTCTGCTAGCGATCAGAAGTTGTTTTGTGCAGTTTGCTCAGCGTTCAAATGATCTTTCAATGAATTTGTGGGGGAGAAATTGGTCTCCCCGTCCTATTCCTCTGCCATCTTAGTTCCCTCCCCCATCATCGTTTATTAATCCGCATCCTAAAGATGAACACCTCGGTTGTTTTCAATCTTTTCTATCTGTTTTTGAATTTGATCTTGAGTGGGAGCTTGAATTATGCCAGGCTGCTCTGATCAGGAGAAGGTAAATGGAGCGAGGTGGTCAGGACACAGGAAATGAGAAAATCAAGGATGACCAGGAAAGGAGCAAACGGTAGAAAAATGTAGAAAAAAATGAGAGAAGCAAGAGAAAGAAGGAAAACAGAATGTGGGCAACCACACAAGACAGGAAGGAGGCAGAGCAGGAGGGAAGGGAACAGAAAAGAGAGTGAGATGAGTGGGGAAGAATGCCAGCAGGGAGTGAGGAGAGCCAGGAAGAGGACATCGGGGCTGACAGAGCTCTGTAAAGACACCTCCTGTGAGTGGAGGGGATCGGGAGCACTGGGCTGACCCTCAGTCCCTACAGAAACCTGGTGGGCCCAGTACACCAGGTCGGTCACATAAATCAGCAGGTTTATGGCCATCAGGTTGGCCACAGCCAGTCTCTGTTTCAGAAGCACAGGTTGTAGCTGAGCTAATTGGTGCAGCCTTTATCACTGAACTGCTGGGGGTGTCCACCAAACTCCTCATTGAACTGGTAGAGTGACCAGAGGACCAGAGCGTTGACATAGAGGGGGACGGAGAGCAGGGTGAGCACAAGCTTGAAGAGGGAGAAGGGCCCGGGCAGCCTGAATTGCCATTTGCCCAGGTTCAACAGGATGGCCAGGGCTGCTGGGATGAAGCAGATCGAGTACACAGCCACGCACCACTCCAGGACCGGCTGGTGCAGGTACAGGGAGGTGTTGATGAAGCTGAAGATATAACTGGCCATGAAGTTCACAGGGAGGAGCCCTGGAGTGAGAGCAAGGCCATGGGGGCATGGGAAGTAGGGACTGTTGTGAATCCCCTCCACCCATTTTTGCCTTCACATGGGACTCTTCCTCATTGAGGAAGGGAGTCCCCAGCCCAGGATGACTCCAAGGTGGGGTGTCATTGAGGAACCACAGACTAAAGTCACAGTGTTGGGCTCCAAGGCTGCCATCCAGGTGGGAATCTGGAAAGATCTAGAAGTCTTACCTGTGAGGATTCTCCTGGCCTGGGAGACTGGTTAGCAGCTTCCAAGCTGGGGAGAAGGGATTGGAAATGAACAAGGATGCTGTGTCTGATGCTGACATGGGACCTGTCAGGCATCCCAGGGAGGGGGAAGGGATAGATGGATGGTCGGCCCCCTTTAAAGGGCAGGAGCTGAAAGAGGAGGTCCCTGCTGGACCCCTGGGAGGGGACAGCCCTGAGGATGCACCCGGGACAGGGGTGGGGGTGAGGGGACAGAGTGGAGATGACTTGGGGGCAATTCCAGGGTCCCAGTGGCCCTGAGGCAGCCCAGTAGGGGTCTTCTGACCCAGAAGGGATGCAGGCATGGAAGCAATCTTCCCCATGGAGGAGAGGCCTGGACTGGAACTGAGAGAGGAGAACAGGGGCCTATAGGGCTTCAGGGCTGTGACAGGGACACCTTAGGCTGNTCGTATCAGGTGGCCAAAGTATTGGAGCTTCAGCTTCAGCCTCAGTCCTTCCAATGACTATTCAGGGTTGATTTTCTTTAGAACTTAGTGGTCACACTCCTCTGTCCAAGGGACTCTCAAGAGTCTTCTCCAGCACCACAAGTCGAAAGCATCAATTCTTTGGCACTCAGCCTTCTTGTGGGCCAACTCTCACAGCCAAACATGACTACTGGAAAAACCATAGCTTTAACTATTCGGACCTTTCATTTTGAGTTTTTTTAAGCAACCTCCATACTGTTGTCTGGGCTTCCCATGTGGTGCTAATGATAAAGAACCCCCCTGACAATGCAAAAATGAAGAGACTCGGGTTTGATCCCTGGGTCAGGAAGATTCCCTGGAGATGGGCATGGCATCCCACTCCAGTGTTCCTGCGTGGAGAAACCCATGGACAGAGGAGTTCACAAAAAACTGGACACGACTGAAGTGACTCAGCACAAAGCCCATAGTGTTCGCCACAGTGGCAGTACCAGTTTACATTCCCACCAACAATGTAGGAGGGTTCCCTCTGTCCACATCCTCTCTGGTGTTTATTGTTTGTGGATTTCCTGATGATGGCAATTCTGATTGGTGTGAGGTGTTATGTCATTAGGAAAGCCTACTTCTTTTAGATCTAAGGGGAAGCCTCTCGGAAACGCCAAACCTTTCTCGCACGCAAATCTCCTTGAGAATATGACTATCCCAGATATACACATGCATGAGCACTCAGATGTTGCATTCAGTTACATTCAGTTACAGCTCTTGCAGACCTCCGAGAATGCATTGCAGGGCATTACTGGACCCACGGGGCTCCGGATAGGAAGCAGCCTTGGAGAAGTGAGTCATGTGATTCTGTGAAAGAAAAATTTAAAACAACTCCATTTTAGATAGCATTACAATTCTGAGCAAGAACCCCTCCCGAGAAGAAGAGAAAAAAACTTCATCAAGCCAACCAATCAGAAGGAGACGAGTTACCCTCCACCCCTAGGCAATCTAGAAGGGCGGGAGAAGTCCCTCACCCCACCCCCATCCCACCAAGACTTCCCGCTTCCCCGGCTGCACAGTATGAACTAGCTGATCCCCCTAAGTTTTCCTTCCCATGCACCCTATGAATTAGCCAATCCCCCTAAGCTTCCCTTCCCGCCGTCCCTGCTAGACAGTATAAAAAAGACTCGCCGCTTTCACTCGGGGCTCCTTCACCATTGTGTGAAGAGAGTCCCTGCTGGAGCTTGTAATAAAGTTCCTCACTGCTTTTGCATCGATCCGCGGCTCCTGTCGTGTTTGGGGGAATTCCGCAATCCGGGTACAACAATTCCTGTACCACCTTTCCTTCAGGTGTGGGAGAGCAGAGTCCTGAGCAGGTTCAGGGTTCCCCCTATGGTGCCCCACAAATGCCAGAGGTCCCCAGGCTGACAAGAGAGTCCTCTGGAGGCAGGGCAAGGAGTCTGAGTCCTGACAATGATGCCCACACTCATCATTGTGGTCCCGTTTTGTTTCTATGACTCAAGAGCTCTGGGACCCCCATCACAGGACCCTCAGAAGGTGACTATTAAAGTCTTTGGGGAAGGTGGCGTGCTGCTGGATTCTCCACTGTTTGGTTAAACCCTTTCCAGAGAGTTAATTGTGATCTAGGATATACTTCCTCAGGAAAGGAGGGCCTCCTGAAGCAGGGCTGTGCTGGGGGAGGTGTGCCCCTCACAGTAAACAGAAGCAGCAGGGGCAGAGAGCACAGGGCAGTGTTTATGTGTGTGTCAGGGTGTGTGTGAGAGAAAGAGGAAGAGAGATGAGAGAGAGACAGAATCCAGCAGGGCAGGCTTTCACAGCCTTGTGAAGTGAGCATCACTCAGTCGTGTCTGACTCTTTGTAACCCCATGGGCTGTAGCTCGCCGGCTCCTATGTCCATGGGATTTCCCAGGCAAGGATACTGGAGTGGGCCGTCATTTCCTTTTGCAGGGGGTTTTCCCAACCCAGGAATTGAAGCCGGGTCTCCTGCATTGCAGGCAGATTCTCTACCATCTGAGGCACCAGGCGGACACATTGCGCATTTAGGCTCAGTAGAAAGCCATTGTTGGTATGTACCCAAGGGACTAACAGTCACTTACAGAGAAGTCTCTGGAATTTCCCTTCAGACAGGAAAGTGGCAAATAGCCAATGAGAAACATTTTTTAAAAAGTGAGAGAAGGACCTTGAACTCAAACCCACAGGCCCAACACACCACCCCATTTCTGCTTCACCCCACAGAAGGGGCAGCCATGTGCTGGGGCTGGGAGCTCACCGGAGTGGAGGGGTCCCTAGAGGGGGGCTGGATGCTGGGAGCTGTGGCCACACATGGGTGCTTCCAGCTCAGCGGATGTTTAAGAAGCAGCTGCTTGGGGCCAGGCTAGACGAGAGGCTGAGGACCCAGGTGAGCAATGCCGGGCCGGTCCTTGAGAAACTCTTGATTGAAGGCAGGTAGAGCCATGAACTGACCATGAGTACATCTGCAGGGCGTGTCCACAGAGGGAGGGCAGGTGTCTGGAGCAGAGTGGAGGACATGGGGCCGGCAGGACACCAGGTCTGAGTGGAGGGTGAAGGATGTGTCTTAGCGGAAAAAGACACGAGAGGGGGGCTAGGGTGGGGAGATATGGAGCCCCAGCCCGAGGAGTGGAGGGCAGCTGGTCTGGGGAGCAGGAATGTGCAAGAGGTGGAGGATGGGGCTGAGTTTGGGCTCCTCTGTAGGGCTTGTGGCACCAGGGACCCAGGACAAAGTGACAGCTCGTAGACTCACTGAAGAGCCCTGTTCTCAACCTGCTGAGCAAGGAGCACTCTAGAAATATCTGTGTCCATGTTCCCTGGACCCTGGGCTCCTGTGAGAACTGCTCCAGCCCCTCTGGGTCTGAGGCCAAGCCTGCAGGGCCCCACCCCACCCAGCAGTTGGGAGCCCCTGGAGGGCACACCTGGGCTCAGGACCTGGATTCTGTGCCTGGCCCTGCCTGGGCCCCGGACTCATGGGTGAAGCCAGGCCTGCTCCAGACACCTGCCGAGTCCAGGGTGTCAGGGGCCTGGGAGACTCACCCCTGACCCCCGTCAGCACTGTATGTCAGGGTATGAGCAGGGAAGGCCCGGGGCCCATGGTGCCTGGATTCAGCCCCCAGTCCCCTCTCTGTCTCATGTGTGCGGTACAGCGTCCTGGGACACAACTCAGTGGAAGATGCCAGGGTAGCCACAGAGCTCTACTGCATCTCCAGTGGGATTGAAGAGCAATGAGGGCTGCCCACCTGGTGGTATCAGCTCCCTCCCCAGGACTAGGCTGGAGGACAGGCTGCTCTGTGGATGTGACATTTAAGATACCAAGTGAATGAACAGGCCATATGACGGCAACTCCCCAGTTCCTGCCTCTGGAGCTGATCTCTACTGGGCTCCAGAGTCATATCCACCTGCCTCCTGATCTCTCCCTCTGGATGACTCAGGACACCTCACACTCACCATGTCCAATTTCACCTCTTGAACCTCTGCCCCCGACACAGACTGACCCTTCCGCATCTTTCCCATTTCAGTGAATGGCACCACCTTCCCAGATGCTCTTCACAAAACACTCATGAGCCCACCCACTCCCCTTCATCTCTAGAGCCGCCTGGTCCACATCCACCCATCCTGTTTACCTTGGCTGCTGCCATACATTTCCAGCTGGTAACTCTATTTCCATTCTTTCCTTCAATATCTGCTCGGAGAAAATTCACACTAAGATGTCTTTGAAGAAGTCTCTTTGTTCCCTCAGGATAAAAATGCAAACTCCAAAATGTCTCCTGCAAAGCCCTGCAAGCTCAGACCCCTTTCTACCTCTCCAGCCTCCTCACCTCCTTCCCTCCAGCCACTGAGAACTTTTTCTGGTTCCTCTTTGCCATCTCAGGGCCTTTGCCAATGCAGCTTTCACTGCTTGGAATGTTCTATGGTGGATAAGAATGTTATTCTAAAAGGAATATTCAAAGAACAAAATGAACTCATCACAACAGAAATACCATGGCATATATTTCAACTTTAGTAGAAATATTGGGAGATGAACTTTTAGCTATCTTTCAGAAAATAGACTGACATGTGTAGAAACATAGGATAGAACAGATAAGAAAATTATAGGCTCCTTCTAAGAATTTACTTTCTAACAAATAGGATTTCTGGAGAGAAGAAAGAAAACAGAGATAGAAAATTTCTCGGAGTTGAAGCATATGAATTTCTTAGGACAAAGGGCTCACTACATGCTTGGCCAGAGGTCTAAAGGAAGACCCACTGGAAGGCACATCACTGTGGAAATTAAATCACTGGACATAAAGAGAATACCCTAGACATTCAGAGAAGTGTGACAAGGTATGCATGGAAGACCAGGAGTCAAGACTAGAAGCTTGAAGACAATGGCGTCATGCCTCAAAATTTGGAGGGAAAGTTATTCCCATGCAAAAATGTTATACCTAGCCAAACTACAGATCAAATCTAAGACAAAATAAAGATAGTGTAAAAATTCTACACTGAATTTATAGCTGAATGTATCAGCTATATTTCTGCTAAAAAAGCTATTGGAGGGCTTCCCTGGTGACTCAGTGGTAAAGATTGCACTTGCTAATGCTGGAGACAGGGGTTTGATCCCTGATATGGGATGATCTCACATGCCGCGGAGCAGCTAAATTGTGCACCATGACTAGTGAAGCCTGTACACCCTAGAGCACACGCTCTGCAACAAGGGAAACCATTGCAATGAGAAGCCCGTGCACTGCAACCAGATGTGGGCCTCGGCTTGCTGCAACTAGAGGAGGGCCTGTGCAGCAACGAGGACCTAGTACACCAAAAATAAATAAATAAACAAAATTTTTTTTTTTTTAAAAGCCTCTGAAGGATGTTGTGTATCCAAATACAGGAGGACACAAATAGAAAAAGAAGAACCAGTATGAGAGAAAAAGGATGTTCCAAGGAGGATGTGGAAGGACTAT